CGCGCGGGGGCTGCTGGGACTTGTAGTCCTTTACCCCCCCAAAAAAAGCAGGGAACCTCCCGGGTGCTGCCCCCCTCCCTTCCCCCCCACGGGGCTTTGCAGCCTCTCCGTGGCAGGGTAATGCACCGGGCTCTGCCCCTTTGCACCCCCACTCCTTGCAAAGAAATGCACCGGGCTCTGCCCCCGAAAAGGGGCTTTGCACCCCCACTCCTTGCAAAGAAATGCACCGGGCTCTGCCCCCGAAAAGGGGCTTTGCACCCCCACTCCTTGCAAAGAAATGCACCGGGCTCTGCCCCCGAAAAGGGGCTTTGCACCCCCACTCCTTGCAAAGAAATGCACCGGGCTCTGCCCCCAAAAAGGGGCTTTGCACCCCCACTCCTTGCAAGGCAATGCACCAGGCTCTGCCCCCAAAAGGGGGCTTTGCACCCCCACTCCTTGCAAGGAAATGCACCGGGCTCTGCCCCCGAAAAGGGGCTTTGCACCCCCACTCCTTGCAAGGCAATGCACCGGGCTCTGCCCCCGAAAAGGGGCTTTGCAGCCCCCCCTTTTCTCCCCACTTGGTTGCAGACCCCTGCACGCTCACCCAGGGGTGGGGAGCATGCACAGCTCCCGCTGCAGCAAGACTCCCTCTCGGAAAGCTGCAGTAAGGGGAATTTTGAAGCCAATAACCAGGTGCAGACCCAAGTAACACCCCTAATGCAGACCCCTCCAGCCAAAGCTTGGCTTTTTGGGGCTCCAGCTGGTACAAAACCACTGCCAGAAATAGCCAGCCCCTGCCCACCACCACCATGCAGCCAAAAATCAATTGTTCTCCCCCCACTACCCATCCTTGCACAAGGGAGTTTTGGTTTCTTTCACAGGAAGGGAGATAAAGCCAATGTTTTCTTTGGATGTGCCTCAGGTAGAGCCTGTGCTTCCTCCCAATGCCAAAGGTGAAGCAGATTTTGTTAATCAGACCAGAAAAACCTCAGCCAGTGCAGCAACAGTCAAAGCAGCAAGGGGCTGCCTTCAGTTCCTCCACACCCTGCTGTATTTCCATCCAACCCTTTTTCAGCAAGCATGCCTAGCTTTTAAATAAAACAAGGCTAAAAGCTTTTAAATAAAACAAGGCAAAAACCAGCTTGTGTTCAAAAAAACATGTTAACTAAAAAGAACATCATAGTGGGAGAGGAGGAGGGGGGATCACAAAGCTCTTTTTATCCAAGCTGTTGATGGGAACTTCTTGGATTTAGGCAGGGATACGAGATTACGAAGCACAGGGATGCAATATAGAAATAACAGTATCATGGGACTGACAACACGTCCCTGCTGTCTAACATAAGCAGTGGGGTCTTCTCCATCACAGGACCTGCACACAGGACCAGCGCTCACCCATCGTTAACCACAGCTCGCTTGAGACACAGAGAATACGGGCAATTCAGGGACATGGAAGAGCAGCCCAACACACATGGATTTTAAGTGTTAAATATCTGACCTATGGAAGTCTGTGTCACATAAGCTCTCAGGAACAAAGATGTTAGCTCCAGGAAAAGTAGTAAGTAATTCTGTAATTTCTGTAGATGAGAATTAAGAGTGCAACATCAGCCTGGCTTCTCAAGACACCTACAAAACTCCCTTACTGCAGGACAGATAAATGTATGGAAAAAACAGGGTCATTTTTGGGGTAAGCCTTTCTAAAGCTGTACGCAACTGTTTTACACCACCCCAATCTTCATTTGCTGCCCACTGGCAGCATCCTGGTTACCATACGTTGTCTCAGAAGCAGCATCATGACATTTCTAGAAATTTCTACTACATCTAAACAAAAACCTATTGAACAGCAAAACAGAAAACCCTTCCATTCTCTCCACCCGCCTAAGACTGCAAACAACTGCTTCAAGCAACAACCTACGAAGAACATCACAAGTTTGAGAAATCTGGAGCTAAAAAAAAAACAACCCACTCGTACTAGAGCAAAGAGAAAGATTCAACCCTGTTCTAATAAATCTCATCCACTTTAGGACTTGGAATAAAAATAAGCATCCCAGCAGGGCAGTGGCAAGACACCTCTTTCCTAGTGGCACTGCCACTGCCACCAGTATTTTGCCACACGCCTGCACCCTGTGAGCTCCAGGTCCTTACTTTGCCCCTCACCAAGGAGCCCAGGGGATTTCAGAGCAGGGTGAGATTCTTCCAACATTCCCCTTTCCCAGCCACTTCCATTGTTTTCTTGCTAATCCACAGGGCTTGCTGCTTGCACGTCTCTTCCCACACATGCATTCGCCTTAAAGACATGGGATCAAGGTCATTACAGAAATTCTGTCTCTGCCCATCTCTGCTGCGGAGCCACTTTCAAATCCTCATCCCACAGCAGAGCCTCAGAGGTGACCCCAGCTGCTCACACGCTCAAAACTGCAAAACCAGAGAGGTCTGGGATTCTATGATTGAGGCAGAGGCATCGGTTCAATATTGTTAATAAAGTAACAACTCTTATTTGTTCTTTACAGTATTTATTGGACATGCAAACCTATGGACAAAACACCAAACTCCCTGCTGGAACCTTCTCTTGCTAAATCAGGTACAAATTACTTTCAGGTAAAGCATGTTTGCATGTTATACTTCCAGTTAGAGAACAGCATTATGCAGCCGTTGCCTTCTCTTTGTAAGTTGCCATCATCTTCTTGATCTCAGCGATTGCTTTGCCAGGGTTCAAACCCTAAAAAGGAAAAGTTTCAGTTAGCTACTCCGGAAATGAACATGTTAGAGCACCCTCCCCGCCTTGCCCTTATCTAAGTCACAGTAAACTCACAGACACACTGCTACTCATAAAAATAGCTGGCAGAGGGGGTGTTCAGCACCCCTTTTTCCTAAAAGCTGGCGTCCAGCTTCCCTTCAAATGCTGGCAGGGTACAGGATACTGAGGGACAGCTCTGAAGAGCCTGCTGCAGGCAGGTTGGGCATGATGGTATGCAGAGCCTCTCGGTTAAGGTGTGCTGATGCAGGTTTGCTGCACTCCAGCCTCAATTTACAAGGGAAGAGCAAGCCAGCCTGGGGTAGAGACGCAGTGCTCCAGCTTGGAGCTCAGCTCCTCTACCTGGAGGCTGAACCAGCAGCACTTCCCACTGCTTGAAGAAAAATGCTCATTTGACTCTGGAGGACTGGTTTTAATCAGCAACGCGAGGATCAAAGAGAAGAACGAGTGGCTGAGCGATACGAACTTTTAACAAAGCTGAAGCAGGACTGAATTCAACACTTTTATGGGTGTTACAAGATGACTTCTGGAAACAGGAAACCACCTTGCAAAAGCTCGACAGTGATGGTACAAGAGGTGTGTTTTTTCTCCTTGTCTGAAATAAAAAAGCTGTGTATTGGAGGACACTAGGGAAGTGAGCAAGAACACTAACTCACAAGATGAAAATGCTTGTCACACAAAAACCAGAGCAGCTTTCCAAAGAAGGTTTTTCTACAATATAGACACGTCATGTTGCAAGGCCCTTAATCCTGCAGCACTGCTACCAAACCAAGCATGCCTAATCTCAAAATGAGAGGGGGATCACAACTGCCCTGCTGTATCGTTGTGATTACAGCAGCAGCACTGCAGGACAGAGAACGAACAGGAAATTACCCGGGTGCACAGCTCACCATGCAGCCTTTCAGGGCTGATCGAGACAACAGCCAGGATTAGAGCATGTGAGTGGAAACGTGTTATTAACCATAAATGCCTTAAACTTGAGAGACCAAGCCTCAGTGTGCTATTTCCCTGCACTGTGTACATTCCTACATACAGTCAGATCTTCAAGTCGAACCTTCACCTTTAGCTGAACTACGGTTGACACCAGATCACGAGCTAGCTCCCCATACAAAGGGGGAATTATCTGCAGTCAGTGAATCACTTTAGAAAAGTCCACAAAAAAAAAATTAGCATGCAGTGCTCCTGACCTGTCAACCCAGGTCTCCAGGACCTTGTTTTCCCCACATCTGTGATCCACTCGAACATTTGCCTTCATATTATTTCACAGCTCAAGAATTACTCCACCACCAGGTGAAAGCAAAGGCTGGCTAGAAAACAGCACAGCTGGCAGGAAAGCAAAACTTGATAATCTGCCCAACAACAGGCACAAGGTCATTGCAAGATGAGGAAGAGGCATGCTCTGATTTCGGAAAGCTTGCTCAGTTCTCTAAAGAAATACTAGAGAGAACAGACCATCTGGGAAATGCCCTGACAGCAGGACGTCAGCATAAAACACGTCCCCCAAAGGCACTGAAAACTCGCTGTACTCTTCTCCATTACAAAACTCACACAACACATCAGGGATAGGTGCTACCGTTAGAGTTTAAGGTTGCACTGTGTGGGGGTTAAGTGTATTACTCACAAGGCTCACACCGCTGATCGGACTACACAGGACAAACTTCCGCGTACCATTTCTGGCAGTGTCCCTCACACGACCAGCGCCTTACTGTCATACTCCTAAACCCTGGCAACAGGCAGGTTCTCGAAGTCACAGCCTTGCTCATGAGGGAGATGTTCCTGCGATGTGTAATACAAACTTTGCCACGTCCTCTTGTACAGTCACTATCATGAGCAGGACTGCTGGTAACTCACTGCGTTTCAAAAGGCTAAACAAGCCAAGGCAAGCTTGAGGAAAGCAAAAGCCTATGCTGGCATTTTCCTACTGGTTTGAAACAAGGTGCTTGCAAACAACAAGCCAGTATCCCCATGAGGGACACGCAGGATGTACACATACCTTAGGGCAAGTCCTTGTACAATTCATGATAGTGTGACAACGGTAGAGAGAAAATGGGTCTTGAAGCTGTGCCAGGCGTTCCTCTGTGTAGTCATCTCTGGAGTCAATCATCCAGCGATAGGCCTGAAAGTCAGTGGCATTTGACACACCAAATGTTTCTTCAAGGTGGTGTAATCAGTGTGAGATTTTAAAAGCAACACCTAACTCAGGAATTTTGGTCCAGGTTCTGGACTACATAATACCATCCCGCCTGTGCTCGCAAATATTTGTACGGCTTTCAGATGGGGAGTCCCTCAGCAGTCCCACGTGACAAACGGGATTTGTCCTTACCTGCATCAGTACTGCAGGACCCAAGTACTTGTCCCCGTTCCACCAGTAACTGGGACAGCTGGTGCTGCAGCAGGCACACAGGATGCACTCGTAGAGTCCGTCCTGCACGGGGGTGGGAGACCACAGTCAAGCCACTCCAGAAACCCATGATGAAGCCTTTTTTAAAGAGGGGATGTACACGAGCACGTGCTTCCCTCACCACCTTCCCCTCTAGTGGCTTGCCACAACAGGGTGGCTCCAAAAACCTTAAGCTGAAGAAGCACTGCCAGAAAAAAGCAATTACCATGTGCATGCGCTCTGAAACAAGACACATGCAATCCTCCCAACTTGACCGCTATAATAAACTAGCTTTTTTGTGACAAAAGGCAGAAAAAGCATTAAACTGAAGAAAAATGTGAAAATTGCTTGATGTTCCTGCATTCTTTCCTTCCAGCCTGTCCCAGTAAGTGGACGAGGAAAGGAACAGATACATAACCCATTAACAATTCAAGGCTGTGTTACAGAAGTGAAGAGAGAGCAAAGCCTAGGGGAGAAGTAAAGAGCTCAGTTTAACACGTGCTTTGAGGGGATCCCCAAGCACTTACAGAGCAGGAATAGTGCGAGTCTTTAGCCACGTCACCATTTTTAGAGATGAAGGCCTTTTTATTTCAGGCACTGAAGAAAAGAAAGTTAGACCTACATGGAAGTGACACTGGGCAGAAGACAGTTAAACTGACGAACAGAGGTCTGCCAAGTCTCCTAGCTCAATCAGCCCCCCCAGGCTAAAAGACAGAGTCCAGTCTGGCTTAAATTATGTATTTGAAAGTTGCTTTTTGGGACAAAGGTCTCATTAAATTTAGTTTAGAAAGACACCTGATTCCAAAAACTCCTGGGACCTTGTAGCAAGTCTACTGCGTTAGAGGGGCTGCTCTAACACACTTTTGGAAAGACTTGCCAAAGCTACTTACCTTCTTGCTCTAAATTTGTCTTATTTCTAATTGTAACATTTGAAATGACTGATGATTGAAAGAAAAAGGTGGGAGTTTTTCAGCTGACACTTTATCCAAGTTTTTCCTGCACACAGGCCATTCTCAAAGCAAGAGAAACTTCAGCAATGAGATAACAAGCAAGTTTACTAATTGTGAGAAAGATTCAGGCAGCTCTTGCAGCCACTTTCAGGTTTGCCATTTCTACTTGAATGAGAAAGTGATTTCAAGGATGCCGCTTTATGAAAACCATGTGAAGGGAGAGTCCCTTTAGTGCTTACATATGGATCAGATAACATTATGAAGTGGTGCAGGAGAACTAACCATTGCCCTTGGATAGAGATTCTTTCAGACTGTAAAATCCTGCGGTTGTTCAGACATCGCAGCGCCAGTCGCATGGTGCTGCCGACATCTCAGGCACACGACCAGTCTATTCATCGGATGTTAACTTCACAGCAAACACACAGAACGGAAAACTTTCAAAGATCACTGCAGAGAATTAGGCTGCAGCTCACATGTTTTTATTGAATCCCCTTTAAACAGCGTTCCTCTTTGCTGTTCATATTCACCCCTCTTTTACCACTTGCCAAAATCTAGGCTGCCTGCCCACTTTGCCCCTACTCAGTGACAGCACCACAGCAACGATCACAGCGGAGTATTGACAGGCCGAGCTTTGAACTGTGAAGTGAGTGATGGATCCATCGAGACAGGTCAGAGGCAAAAGAGAAACTGCTGATTTAATGATACTTACTGTGGCGGCCAAGGAAATCCAGACAAGAACTTACCCGCACTGTAAACTTTTAAAAAAGCTATTATCTCCCAGCTGTTCAAATGGTTCCTCAGACACCCTTCAGCTTTATGCAGAAACTTTGAACCAACAACGCTACGTTCCCAGAAAATCCCCTCAAAATAACACAGTGCTCAAGACAGACATCTGAAGACTTGCACTAACACATCATGCTCGTGTCTCCACATCCAAAAGGGTTTAGCTTTTGCCATTAGTTTTTAGGGCTGTAAAACCCAGCAAGCAGCAACAAGAGCACTGCTTAGCATGCTGCAGCTAGACAAGACAGACAGTGCTGAGCCTGACAGCCTACATGCCAGCATAAACTGCCTTATCTCCATTGGAATATTACAAGCCTGTAGCCTTCACAATGTTTTTACAAACACACGTGGTTTCGCAGTGCAGACAGTGGAAATGAGATCAGAGTCCCCATCGCAACCACGAATGCATTTCATTAGCAAACATTACCCCTAGCAATGCAGGCATGCCATGACATTGCATTTCAGGGAGCAGATTCCACCCACATCAGGTTTTGCACCAGACAGCTCTGTCATTAAAGGAACTAGAAGCTACAGCATGTTAACATTTAACCCTGGTCTTATCTGGAAGGGATTTCAACAGTAGAAAAGAAGCAGTAACCAGTTTCTGACGGTCTTCTATGGACTGCAGGTACTGCTCCTTGCCCTGTTTCGACTCATCCTTCTTCTTCAGGTAAGGCTCGATGGATTTGTACTGTGCGTAGAAGTTACTCAAGTCCTAGGAGTCAAAAGGCAAAAAGGTCACATTTATTAAGCTGAATTGATGCACGACAGATTGAACATCTGCTACCACTCCAACAGAAGGCAGCATTTTGTACCTCAACCTGCCATATTCCTCCAAATAAGGACAGATTTATTCACTGTTGTGAAGCTCAGACCCACCCAACATGTGAATTGTGACACCTGATTTTGTTGGCACCTCCCAACATTATCTTTTTGAACCCAATCTGAACCCCATGCTGCCTGGAACAGTGTCACCCTTGGTCGTAAGCTGACAGAGGCAGATACTCACTGGAACAAGGTCCTTCACCACATACATGTGGGGGAGAGGGTAGATTTTAGTGATCTTGTTGAGATCAGGGTCAATTCTTTTGATACAGGCCAGTGTGTTTCCGCCAGCAATGTTCATAGCACAAGAGCCGCAGATGCCTGAGTGGGAAAAAAAGGAATAAAGCGTTAAGATATTTACACTCTTATCCTACTTGAAGAAGATCCTCTTGGCACCAAACGTGCCCCCGGGCTGTCTTCAAGAAACTCTGTACGTGACAAGGAAAACGCCAGAAGTTGCCATTGGGCCAAACACATTGCTATTCAAATAAAGAACAGACGCAGGAGTCACTTTCATTAAAGCCTAAACACATTCTCAGTGTTGAACTTCCTTCCACAGCAGAAAACAAGTGGCTTGGACACTTCATCCCTTTCGCATCACTCATTAGTTTTACGTGCTACTTAGGGTAGGGAAAACATTCAGCTTTATTCCCAAGTTTGAAGCACAAGCTTGTATTGACGCGAAGCAGCTAGCGCTAAGATTATAACGTGGGAACCAGGCACATCCCTCATCAGCCCTACAGTTACGGTCAAAAGCATCCCTGAAGGTTAGGAACATAAAATAAAGTCCCTAAGACAGACGTTTCTCCCTGTGCCTTCTGCAGCAGGCTCGAGTGGTGCCATAAACTGCATTCATCAACTTCCAAAGGTGAGGGGACAGACACTCAGCAGAACAAACAGCATATAAATAGCTTAACAAATGGATTAAATGACACTACTAATGATCTCCCAGTAATAGAAGGATCAGATGTAGCCCAGGAAAGGCCAAGGTTTACAAGAAAAACCACCGCAGAACTGTCACAAATACTGGTCAGGTCAGGAGCTCGGGTATCCATTCAGACTGATGCCTAAAACATCATACTAGAAAGAAGACACATGTTGAAAGGGCAAAACTCTAATTTCAGAGGATTTGACACACATCAATTGATATGAGCCAGAGAAATGCCACTGCTCCTCACACTGGCGAGCTAGTCTGCCTCAGCGCCTGATGCATTGGCAATCCTTCCCCTCGCTGCCAGATAAAGGCTGGCACTTGAACAAGGTTATTCCTCCCACTCAAGAAATGGTTACAAGTATTTTCCAGTCAACTGGAGAGGGAACCAGGACTGCAGACAGGGGCCCATGAGTATGCAACAGGAATCTGCGATTGGATTTTTTTTTTTTCCTGCATGGTAGAAAAGGGGCAAGATTGAACCAGTCCAGCTTGAAAATCTGTCTTCAGGTTCTCAAAGAAAAATATTCAGGACAATTAATTCCAGCTGCTTGGGAACAATGTCAGCTATCTAAATATCAGAGACTGAGAACAACTACACCGTATGAAATTCCTCTGCCTGCTATGCAGATTCTACAGGAAACGGCTGCGTTAAAGCGTGCTTTTAATTTAGATCCAAGTCAAAACATCTTTAGGCATCAATTGCACCTAAATTTCTCATAGTTGCAAACCCACCTAATTAAATCAGAAGTCATTCCATAAAGGCATTCTCCCTTCCTGCACTCCACAACTATCATTTTAAGCTCAGCCTCCCAACATCCCCCATGAATTAGGATTTTTTTTTTTTTTTTTTTACAGGGAAAGTCACCTGGACAGGTAAGTTTTAATGCAGTTAAATAGACATGCTGATTTGTACCTGTACGAGAACCAGCCAGTAGCTTTGCAATGTCAAACCACCAGATGGCCTTTTCCTCAATCATTCAGCTTAGTCAAAGGGCCAAAATAAAAAAAAAGATTCCTGAAGCTATTCCTAGAAGTCATAAGTACTCTTCCAGTTACACCCTTTCTTATTTCCACAGCAGCACCAGATAAAGCAGCCCCTACAATTCATTCCCATTCACCACGTCTGCCCCCTCAATTTTGCTGTTGTAATCTCTCTTGCTAGATTTCCCTACGCAGTCCGTCACTGGAGGGCAGCAAGATGAACAAGATTAGACAGAAACAGGAACGACTGGGGCTGTTGAAGCACATTGCTCATAGCTCAGTGTTGTGCGATTACACCCTTTGAATACGAGCTTTAACTTTACTACTTAATTCATTGAGGCATTTCCTATGCAGCAGCTGGAAGAGGAGAGCAGTACACCATCATCTACCCTGAAGTCTTCTAGTAGTTACACATACACTGTCAGCAACAAACAGTCTTCAAGGGGAATCTTCAGTTTAGCAGGCTGGAAAACCATTCTTACCTTCCCTAC